AATCACTTGGACACACCGCAACATGAATGCTGAACAATTAGCTTTGAGAAATCTTTTCTGTTGCGCATCCTTATCCAGAATGCCACAGATTATCCTTCATCCAGCAGGCAACCCGGATTTAAACAGAGTGATTGAAATTGCCAAAGCCAGCGAGGCAACCCGGCAGTACATGAAAACCATAGGTAACACTACAGAAGTGCATAAGGTGTCACACCGACATGAGGCGTCACACAAACCTGATCGTCAGAAACGGCAACGAAAGGGACAGCGACCAAGTGGACCCCGGGAGGCGGAATGCATATACTGTAACAGACGCCATGTAATGGTGAAGGAGAAAGGCCCTGCTTATGGGAAGAGGTGCAACATCTGCCACAATGCCAATCACTTCCACGGGTCTCGTAAATGTGCGAAAAGTAAACCCGTGCATGCCATGGCATGGATGATTTCGAAGAACAGAGCGAGTGCTCGGAGTCAACGGATGATGAGTTCATTGGCAAAGTAGAGGGCTCAGTGGAGACACCCACAACAAAGTCTGTATACTGTGAGATGCTAGTTTGGGACGGTCAGGGATACACTAACCCGATAAAGTTACAGATAGACTGTGGTGCTACAGTCAACGTTGTCCCAAAGCAATACATTCCAAGGTCCGTACAGGTGATCAAAACTGATGTTACGCTGTCTATGTGGAATAAGACTGCAGTAACCCCACTAGGCGAGTGTGCGTTGAAACTGAAAAACCCCAAGACAGGCAGGAAACACAACGTCAGGTTCATAGTGGTTTCCGAGAAGCTTAGACCTCTGCTTAGTAGACTGGCAGCAGAAAAAATGGGGCTCATTACCATTAACTATATGATGTTCAAGTCGGTTAATGCAGTGACCGGGGCTATATCTGGAGGATGCCCCAGAGTGTTCGATGGAGGACTGGGAAAAATGCCAGGAACAGTACACCTGGTAGTGAAAGAAGATATTTCCCCAACTATCTGTCCTCCACGGAAAGTTCCAGTGGCAATGAGGGACAAGGTCAAAGCAAAGCTGAAGGACATGGAGTCCAAAGGTATCATCGAGAAGATGGACGAACCCCGTGACTGGGCAACCCAAATGGCAGTGACTGTGAAGAAGAATGGGGACTTTAGGATCTGTATAGATCCAAGACGTTTGAATAAGGCACTCAATAGAGAGCATTTCCCCATGCCGGTCCTAGATGACATACTACCAGACCTCTCAAAGGCACCTCTGAGTTTTCAGCCATATCGATCTGCAAGATGGGTACTGGCACTGTGAATTGGATGAGGAATCCAGCAAGTTGACGACCTTCCAAACGCACCGTCGGCGCTATAAGTGGAAGCGCCTCCCATTTGGATTAAACGTGAGTGCTTAAATATTCCAGAAACGTCTCAAGACATCGCTAGAAGGGTTGGAGTCTACAGAATGCATTGCAGACGACATCATCGTGTGGGGAGTTGGTTACTCGATGGAGGAAGCACCTAAGGACCACGATAAGAACCTAGAGGCTCTAATGTTGAGAGCCCACAAACAAGGTTTAAAATTCAAACAGTCTAAGTGCGAGTTTAGAACAACCTCTACAGTGTTCCAAGGCCATATCATAACAGCTGCAGGGCTACAGGTAGATCCAGAAAAGGTCAAGGCCATTCAGAATCTGAAACCCCCGAAAAATGTCGAAGCCGTGAGAGTTTTGCGAGGTACAGTGAATTACCTGGCCCGGTTTCTGCCTCAGCTGTCGACCGTGATGGAGCCCATTAATAGGCTGACCAAGGAGGATGTTCCTTGGCATTGGGAACATGAACAAGACCAGGCTTTGACGAAGATCAAAGACATGATCTGCACAGCACCAGTAATGGCATATTATGATACCAAGAAGGAGCTGGTGCTACAATGTGATGCCAGTGAGTCAGGCCTGGGGGCCGCACTGTTACAGGAGGGTCGTCCAATAGCGTATGCCAGCCTGGCACTTACAGACCCTGAGACAAGATATGCTCAAATAGAGGAGGCAGTCGCAGTGGCTTGGTCACTTGAACATTTCAGACAATACACATATGGGAGAAAAACCATAGTGCACACAGATCACAAGCCTCTTGAACCGATCTCAAATTAACCACTGTGCAAGGCCCTAGACGTCTTCCCTGGAGTCTTAGTTGTAACTTGTTATTCATATTTGCACTAAGTTAAGACTAAGTTATAAATAATGTGGGAAGAATTTACCTCAGACGTACTGAATAGGTGTGTGATTTGAAATTATCGAAATGTGACAAATTGCCGTCATTGGTCAATGGACAATGACGCCGACTGCTATAATTTTAATACATTCCCACATATGTATATCTGTACGTGTTAGTGTTTTGTGAACTTCAGACTTCAGTATTTCTTTGGAGATTTGATGATATATGCAGGAATGTCCTACTCCTAATGTACTCATAACAAGTAACAGTAACACTACATTACAGACTAAGTGGAAGAAGAACAAGAACAAGAACAAGTAACAAGTAACTAAGAAGCAAGAGGAGAGAACAGTATAACTTTAGCCAAATATATATTATTTGGAAAGACTTATTTTTCTTATTTTCTTTATGTTGATTATTTACTTTAATTTTGCATTTCAGGCTATCCTCCCCAGTGGCATTACTTACCATGCATGCCACGTTGAAATGGAATCCATCAATGAAAATGAAGTTCATTTTCGTACAACTCTGTGGCTGAATCTGAGCACCAAAGAGGAATTCGAAGAATGGATGCGAAGTTTTCAAGAAACTTCTCACGTGACATGGCGGGTCAAGAGGACATTTCCAACAGATGGAGTAAAAATAGTGTTTAAGGTATTAACACTAACTTTGTTGATTATCAGCTAAACTTTTAAAGCTGAAACAACATACTTGCAGTTTGAAAAAAAGAGTAAATTTCTCTGAAAGTTAAACTGTTGATTTAGACTTAACTTGTTAATTTGTGAGAAGAATAAATCTCTACTCTATCCACATCACTGTTGCAGGAAATAGAAGGCCATTAGGCAATGCTACGCAAAAGTTGACATAACCCACTGAAATTTCAAAATTGTTGCAGCTTTCTGTTTTAAGAAGCAGAATTTTAATGAAAGGTAAATTAATCATTGAGAAGAAGAACTTATATACTACCTATATAAAGTCCTAAAATCAAAGCACTTAATATTCTGTATTTATAACCTTTTTTTAAAGTTCAAATTGATGTCACGATCATCGATTATACTCGATCATCGGTTGAACAGTGGCTCGTACCAAGCACTTGGTTATCAAAATCAATAATCGATATCATCGGAAAAAAAAGAAGAAAAAAATCAAAATAAATGTAAAACTTGGAAAAGTGATGAGAATCAGAGATATATCATTGCTACTATACAAGTTATCCTTTATTAACATTGCTTGTTTAGCCCTGTTTACTGTTTGTTTTGCACTGTTTACTACTGTGTGTATAATACATGTCATGTATGCACACACGTACATGCACACGACGTTACGCACACGCAGGTATTCAACACCCCGAGTAACCGATTGTAACCGATCATCGGTTACTTGGGTCCAACCGATGATCGGTTACGAAATTACAACCGATTGACAACACTACAACCCCCCCCCCCCCACTCGCAATAAGAAAAGTTGGTCAATAGTGAATGCTGACAGATGCAACATAGTAGCATCCTTCCACAGCGTACATCTGTCATTGCTGCTAAACCTCACCGCAGGCTCAGCATAATCCGACAGCAACTTGTTACCGCGGCTGTTGCGAACAATAGAGCCACTTAAACAGGTGCGACAACAAACTGAAAAGGAAACCATGTGCCTGACAATGCGGTGGCGTAAAGCTGCCGCAGTCTCTGTATATAACTAGCTACAGGCACGCATGGCGAGACGACGGCATCACTGTTACAAAGCATCACATTCACTTTTTCGAACGCTCGCTTCTCGGCAACTTTAAGTCCTTGCGGTGCACCGTACTCAATCTCTCACGACGACACATAAAACGCGGGAGCTTGCAAGCGCGAGTAACACAACACAAGTGTCGCATTGATGATGACGGCGCACAGGCGTGTGAGCACTGTAAGTGTAAGGCTCATTAAGGTTGCTTGGCCTACGTACAAAAATCCCAAGCGCATGCAGGGGTAGAAATTATCTTTTGAACAAGGGAGTCCAACGGACTCCCTACCCTCAAAAAGAGGGAGTCCGCAGCAAAATGAGGTAGTCCGCAGCAAAATGAGGGAGTGCGCAGTCTGAGGTTCAAAATTAAAAATATTAATAATAACGCATGTGCTTATTTTTAAGAGTCATGCAGTTGCACGTCTGCCAAACTTTCTTTGGACATTAGCTGAAAAAAATACAGTAATTCGGCGAGGCCGTGCTCCGGAACGAACTAGTTACTAGTTAGTATAAGTATAACAGAATTTTCAGAGAGTCACACGGACTCCTGCATATGTAAAATCAGGGAGTCTGACAGTAAATCAGGGAGTATTTGACAGAGGAGTATTTGAGGAGTACAGTACAGGGAGT